GTCTCCATGGGACGACTTGGAAGTTCATTTTTAGATGAGCTGAGTTTTGTTTTGGGCTGGGCTACATGGCCGGCCCCGGAATGGTCATTGACCAGCGAATCGCCATCCCGAGACCAATGTAAAGGCCTGGAACATAGGCGTTGAAAAATATTTCATATTTTTCCAAATGAATTGCTCGATCCAACTTGAGCTTTTGGTGGATTTCTTCATTTGTCTCAATGGGATGATTTGGAAGTTCGTTTTTAGATGAGCTGAGTTTTGTTTTGGGCTGGGCTACATGGCCGGCCCCGGAATATGTCATTGGTATACACCTGCCTCCTGGTGACCATGACTCGCCATCCCGAGACCAATGGAAAAGCCTGGAATATATATGAATATATGGCTTTGAAACATATTTCATATTTTGCCAAATGAATTGTTCGATCCAACTTGAGCTTTTGGTGGGTTTCTTCATTTGTCTCAATGGGATGATTTGGAATTCGTTTTTAGATGAGCTGAGTTTTGTTTTGGGCTGGGCTACATGGCCGGCCCCGGAATATGTCATTGGTACACCTGCCTCCTGGTGACCATGACTCGCCATCCCGAGACCAATGGAAAAGCCTGGAATATATATGAATATATGGCTTTGAAACATATTTCATATTTTGCCAAATGAATTGCTCGATCCAACTTGAGCTTTTGGTGGATTTCTTCATTTGTCTCAATGGGATGATTTGGAATTCGTTTTTAGATGAGCTGAGTTTTGTTTTGGGCTGGGCTACATGGCCGGCCCCGGAATATGTCATTGGTACTTGACCATGACTCGCCATCCCGAGACCAATGTAAAGGCCTGGAACATAGGCGTTGAAAAATATTTCATATTTTGCCAAATGAATTGCTCGATCCAACTTGAGCTTTTGGTGGATTTCTTCATTTTTCTCAATGGGATGATTTGGAAGTTCGTTTTTAGATGAGCTGAGTTTTGTTTTGGGCTGGGCTACATGGCCGGCCCCGGAATATGTCATTGGTACTTGACCATGACTCGCCATCCCGAGACCAATGGAAAAGCCTGGAATATATATGAATATATGGCTTTGAAACATATTTCATATTTTGCCAAATGAATTGCTTGATCCAACTTGAGCTTTTGGTGGATTTCTTCATTTGTCTCAATGGGATGCCTCGGATTAATGCCTGCTGAGCAAAGCTTGCATTGGCTGGATCGAATCGAACAGGAAAAAATGGCTAGCACCAGAGTGGTGCCAGGATTGAGTTTGTTGTTTTTTAACGTTTTTTCTATGTTCAATTTGTGCAGTGCCTTTTATGTGAAGGTTGCATATCTCATTGTTTATTTTAGTTTTTTCGATAACGGTCAAAATATATGTCAGCTCGACTTTGCAGGTGCCAAAGGGTCCATTAAGATTCGATTAAATGTGATGTTTTTTTGGCTGCAGGTGATGATGCCCACAAGGCCAAACGGTTTGATGAAGGTGCACCGGGATTGGATTCGGTTCTATTGAATCTTTCATTTGGCATGTGCTGGCAAGCAGGAGATCGATCATGCATTCTTTTGTGTGCTCCATCATGATTTTGCAGGAGTTGCGCCTACAACCCGCCAGCCTGAGCTGCCAGATGAAGGTGGGGGTCATGCATGCATTCACCCGGCGAGGACCCCTTAATTTCAAAGGAAATTTGTTAAATGTGACCAATGATGAATTCATACAGGATCCTTGACCATCGATCTTTTGAGTATTTTTTAGTGGATGCATGTGGATGCATCAGCCAGCTATTTATAGGAAAGAAAAGCATTGCAACCACCATATGTGTCAAAGCAAACTAATGGCACTTAATGTGAAATTTGATAATAGCATGCATCACGGATATGTGAAATTGCTGCAGTGCGTAGAATTGTAGCATGCAGGTGTCCATGTGGACAGGCCGAAGGACAGTTTCATTGAAGCTGTCATGCTGATTATGCTGATATGCGCATGCAGACAGAAGCACATATTATGCATTCTGGATGCACGCTGGCACAGCATGATTCCGCAGCAGCTCAATCGGAATAAAGGTATGCACCGTGATGGCAACAACATACTGCAGTCTCTGCATGATTCCGCATGACAGTTTAATAGAGCTGGATTGTGCAGTGCGCATTCACAAAGTCCTGCTCTCTTCAATATAGCTAGTCTTCAACATATGACAACACAGTATATTTCTTTTTTGGCATGGGGCCAGTCGAAGCTGATGGCACACAAGTTCATTGACCTGAGATGCAACCTCTTTCAGCCATCAGAAGGAGTGAGCTACAGGAAGAATACTTGAACTTTCTTAGTTCCAAAGGGAAAGGCAAAAGCAGACCGAGTCAAGACTATGGGCCTGCTAGCGAGAGTTCAGAGGAAGACGCATTGGAAACCATCCAAGAAGAGTATCCTTTCGAAGGCTGGCCGTCAGCTATGCATAAGGATCACTCCAGCATGTCTGCAGCAGTATCTGATGATATCCAACATCCTTAAAATGGCCATACATGCGGTATCTTGAAGCGTTGCTCCAGGCATCGATGGAGGCGATGTTGAACATGCTTCGATGCCCAAGGTGGATAGAGGAGCCTGCTGAATGCAATATTATAATTTTAAGGCTGAATATGAATTTCCTGCATGCAGGACCTGCCGATGAAGAGATATGTGGGCACCAACAATGGCAAGCAGGCCCTGCATATGTTTGATGTTGCAGTGTATAGATTGTGTTTTTGTATGCGTCCAAGAATTAGTTAGTATTGTTTATAAAACATATTTATGTATCTATCGCTATATATGTATATTATTTGTATATATACATAGATTTTGCTTAGCGAGTGGTTTCACTTACATGTTGTTCCTTAGGCTCTCATGCATGCTCATGCATGCTATGATCAAATGAGGTGGTTGCGCTGGCACAGGAGAGCAACCTGACAACATAAGGCAGGTGTCAATTGCTGTGTGCCAGGTGTGTAAAAGTGCACTACGTTTATTCTACTTGCCCAATTGTCATATATGGAATTGCAATTGGAATGTTTGGCTGCAGGGGCTGCCGCACACAGTCTGTGAACCCAAATGCCAATCAGGACCTCATAATCTATGTTTGTTTGCGTTGTTTTGTTGCAGCTTTGTGCAAGTGACACAGCCATTCAGATTGCTTGCCTGCATGCAGTGTCATATCAGCGAAGCATCTGGTCTTGATTTTTTTTCGAAAATCCTAAGCATTTTGGCTCTAGCTACCATGTGGATTGTCGGTTCATGGTATGGCTTTTCCTGCTACTGCAAAGGTTGTCCAAACAGACATGGTCTCAGCTGTCTCCGCGGGAAAATTGCCTCATGTCAGCGATGTCAAGGTCATTCAAACAGAGGCCTTTGATCTCACAGATTTGGAAGACCTGCCGCTTACTGACGTGAAACTTGTCCAAACTGATACAGCATGTGCACGGAGATTGCCAGTCTCCACGGATGCAAAAGTTGTACAAACGGAGGCAGAGGCTGATGAGGAACAGTGTCGTTAAACTGGTGTGAAGACCATCTATATACGTGGCAGGGTGGGGTTTCAGGTCGCGGACCTCAAACTCCACCCTGCCACGTACATAGGTTGGTTCATGGTATGGCTTTTCCTGCTACAGGTGCAGATTTTGATGAAGACGTTGAATGCTGTTCAACATTTGGAATTTCTTCCTTAAGAGATTCCAAGCGCGGAACAGCATCCAGCGTCTTTTGAACATGCTATGGGTGGCCTGCGCCACTTGATTCATTAAAGAGTTGATCGGCATTGCATGGTTTCAGTTCAACAAAAGAAGTCTCTCGCACGCCAGGATATGCTTGCAACGTACAGGTTCAATGATGACATCTCATCTCAGATCAGATCTCATCATTGCACCGGTTGTGGGAGCAAGGAATCGACAGATGTTTGAGCCCGCATTAGTCAAGATCAAGGATAACCTTTGATGTTGGTGAATCACTTGCAAATTGGGAGCTCCATATGGTGGACGAATTTCCTTTCCTGCATATATTAACAATATGCTGCATACCGAACGAATGCAGCAAGTGTTACCATTTCTGTGACAGAAGTGGTTGCATCTGCTGTTTTTTTGTCTTGCTGCATGCGTGGATGTTTTCCGAGAGTTTTGCGTTCAGTTTAGCAAGAAAAAATGCAGCTCACCTCTATAGCTTGCATGCACACGCATGGACATGGGGTTGCACAGCTAAGATCTTGATCTGTGAAGTTAGATTGAGATATGTATGCTATGCAAATGTCATTCTGCAGGACCATCATGGGAGCCGAGCAAGACCATCTATGTGCTGTTGCGCAGGCCTCCAACTGTCGTGGATTAGTATTGTGTATTAATATATATATAGTATTATTTTAATATATGTCTAAGTTTGCCGTCTAAATGCTCTATTGCTGCATGCAGGTATTTTTGGAGTTTTGGGAGAGATCTATGCGACGAAAGTTGCGACGCCATGTTTGAAATTTGTGTGTGTGCATCTTCGCAAAAGCTATATTTCATGTGTTTGTCCAAGAGAGTTTCTTTTTTCAGGTGCACTCATATAACCATCATCGATCCTCGCCAGGCAGTGAACATGGTTCATGTCTATGCTTCCAAGTTTTCTTAAATTGTTCATACAGCCATCTTCTTTGTTGCAGGCTGGCAGTTCTTCACATCCATTTCGGTGATGGTCGGTGTCATGTTCGTCAAAACACTGCTCGAAATTTCACATTGTTGCAGAGTTACTGAGTTCGATATGTTGCAAGACATAATTGACATCAATCCGGATTTTCAACATCAGAACTTGCCTTGCAGGCAAGCAGCCATGGGTCATGCATGATGAACCAGGACTGAAAGGTCATGCCGGCTTGATGTTTTTGCCACTTGCGACCAAGTATAATGGACAGCGTGCAAAGTGACTTGCCAACTTTTGATTTGATGAATGGCGCCGTAATCATGGATTTGATGTTTGTAGCAATGCCGCTGCCATGTTATGTTATCAAAGGACAACATGACATGCCAGGATGGCAAATGGGTGTGGATCCGCAATGGGCAGCGGATCGCGATCGACATCGGAAGGTGGTGGTATCTCCATCACTACCATGGATGGATGAGCAAGTCGCAATTGGAGGAGCTGCGACAGGAGAACTACAATGGTAAGAAGAAGTGGACAAAACATGAGGACAATGGTAAGAAGAAGTGGACAAAACATGAGGAGTGGGAGTTTGAGGATGTGGAGGAGGAGACAGCGCCACCGTGGCTACCTGCTGCTAGGCGACCAGCGAAGCAGCCGCCCAAAGCGCTAGAAACAAAAGCCAATGTGCCGGAACCGGCCCGCCCCCCGTCAGCCACATGCAGAGCTGCAGGCAAGGCCCAGCCAATGCCGGCCAATCGCTGTGTTGCGAAGGCGGTGCCAGTTCAACCCAAGAAAGGGCCTGTGGTTGTGCCACCACGGTTTTTGGATGGATGCCCGATTAAGGAGAAGCAGATGCAGGCCTGTGAGGAGGCTGAGAGTGAGGGCGAGTGGGAGCCATATGAGTTGGAGTCTCATTGCGATGCTGATGAGTCGTCACCAGGATCCAACCGTACGAACAACAAGCAGAAAGCTGCAGGGCCTAGAAAGGTGGAGAATGAGGAAATCGTGAAGGCCAGAATCAGGAAAGCTGCTGCGCAGAAAGCCAAAGATTTCATGGAGAGCAAACAGTTCACCCATGCGGACGGCCACTCCAAGCAGGTCCAGAAGCATCCCAACAAGGACACCCAGGAGGTACCTGCAAAAGAGCTGCAGAAGAAGCAGCAGAAAAAGGCTGTGGATGCAAAGAAGATCACTGGCAGCAAAGAAGACAAGTCTAACAGAACGACCGAGGCATCGGATTTACTGATACTTTTCTTGTGTTCCCAGTTTCCATGATCCTTGCAGATCGATGTATGACACGATTGAATCCACAAGAAGTTTTTGCTTTCCCATTTTCCAGAATCCTTGAGATCGACGTGTGACTTATCCATTTTTGAATCCGCATAACAAGCGAACAGGTACATTGAGTTTAGCAGTTGTTGCAAGTCGGATTCCATTCAAGCAAAGTTATTCGTTGTTAAATCATATCGCCACATGCACAGGCGGATGCAAAGAAACGAAAAGTTGACGAAATCAATGAAAAAATCAAGCTGCACACCAGCGACAAGACGAAAGATGCGAGCAAAGAAGTTAAGGATCTGGAGGAGGCACAGAAGGCGTTGAAGCAGGCCATGGCGAAGAACGAATCTCGCCTGCTAGAGCTGAGGAAGGCGACCGCACAGCCCCGGCCTTTGGCGAAAGCCCGGGCTGGGGGCAAAGTTGATACCACGACGGAATCTGGCGACCCGACTTGTGCTAAGCCTGCAGTTCCTAGACCAGCGGCGTGATGACCTCTGTATATATGGCCACCTCCATGGAATAGACTTGGTGGCCTGATGATTTCAAGCCTGATCTATCACAAGAAAAATGCGTGCACGCTTTGTGCTGTCTAGTATGCCTGGACTCATGCTTGTGGATTTGAATTTGTCTCGAGATGTCACCTACTTCATTTTTGCCAGGTCTTCTGAACAATGTGGAAGAAACAGGCGCACACATGGCCAAGATTGATGTACACTTGTGCATGCAAGAAGATTGTTTTGTTCACTCATACGGCAAACTGGCAAGGCTGATGATCGACAACTTTGCTGTCAGTGAAAATGTTCATGGCGCCAGTGGCGGCAGCGCATTGATACGCCAGCATCATCGCAGCACCATGACATGTCCTGCAGGGTTCATGTCGCCACACGCAAAAGATGTGATCTGGTCACTTGTCCTTGCCAGGAGGTGGCATCAAGTAGTGGAGCCGATGCTGAACCCAGCACAAGAGAGCCAGAGGAGACATGATTGTTTGCGTGTGTGTGTGTGTATGTGTGCAAATGGCATCTCATTAAGCGTGTTGTGTCTTTGTTTGCGTTTCTGCAGTTTTTCTTGTCCAGTTGAAGCATCAGGACAACGATGAGGCTGAGAACAAGAAGAAGGACACAATTGGATCATGCACACGATTCACCAGCCTTCCTCATTGTTTGTTTTCGCAAGGACATGACTTCTGGGCCACTTTGGAACGCCTACCAAGAATTCCTGGCCAAAGCCAGGGAACTTGGATGTACACACAGGGAATCTCGTTTTTAAATAGTGCTCTGAGTTAGTATGTTCATGACTTGCAGGCAAAATAAGAGCACTGCAATGCTGATCCAAGGAAGCCAACACGTTATGGCGCAAATCAGCTGTGCGAGAGACACTTGGCCAACTCTTACAGAGCAAAGAACTCCCAGTGTTCCAATGCTGTTCAAACACATGTTATTTGCATGCTTTGACTCAGGGCGTTGGTTGATGCCATTCCGGAATCGGAACGCAAGAAGCGGCGTTTGTAATCGCGCGACTCACAGCATGGAACAAAAAGAAAAAGACCATATTTTTAGTGCCTGCATTGCGCATGTTTCACAAATCATTCAGTTTTTACCAGTGCGATATAGTTTTTTTCCGATCTGGATCAAGGGATCGATAAGGGGGGCGTCTCACCTGTTTTTCCCAGTTCAGTTGCACACGCCATGCAATCCCGACCTAATGTTGCCAACATGCTGGCAGCGGGCGTGTGGGGAGCTCAATATTTGTTGTTGTGATGTGCATGCAACCATCAATCATCCTCACATATGCCATTGATGAATGCGAGGCCGCGAGCAATTGTGGTTTTATTTGCGTTGATAGCCTACACTGGCTGCATAGTGACTCTTCTGCAGAAAGACCCAATCCAGAACATTTCACCATGGTTTTACCTGTCCCTTACTGCATGGAATCCCTTTGTTTGGCAGGCACCCAATGTTGCAGATATTGATGCCGTAGAGATCTTTGCCGGATGTATGGTGCCACATACGCAGTAAGTTGCCGCACGTGCATGCTGTTCATGTACAGGCCAGGAAGGCTTTCCATGCTCAAGTGTCCTGTCTTGTTGCAAAGGCGGTCACTGACGCTGTCAAGAGGGCTGGAAGGACATGCCGGGCATTTGATATTGAATGGTGCAGAGATCTCGACCTAACAATTTCCAGTGGAATGGTGTATCTTGGTGGTCTGATCAGAAGGAAGATCAAGCATGTTGCACATTGTTGTCTTTGTTTGATGCATATGAAGCTCCTTGCACGCTACACAGAGGTTGGCCCTTGTCATCATCCGCCGTGTGCGACGTGGTGGACTATGTATGCTAGCGCCTGTCTGCTGCTCACCCAAGATTTGTATTCTTTATGCATGGTTATTTGAAATGCTGCTGCACCGTGTGCATATGTGTGCATCGTCTATAGGTTCATCATTCACATGGGTTAATGCTGGAACCAGCCTTCGGGGACTGCTTCTTCCAGAAGGCATGACCGTCGAACCGAGCGTATGGATTGGCAACTTGCTCGCTGTGAGGACAGCGCACCGCAGTCATGTAGATGTTGGTGATTCACATATAGGGTTGCATCATATGTTGTTCTATGATTCATGTGCGTTCCAATGACTTCCTGGAAATACAATTTTGTAGAGGAGCCTCATACTGTACCGGATATGTTCTGCCATTGGCATCCTCGCGGTGCTTGAACAACCAAAGCATCACAGCACCGGTGGACTGGCTGTACTTTCACATTTCAAATCACTGGTGCGAGACACTCCGGATTCTTGGGTTAAAGTGAATCTTTAGATCACACGAACCAAAAACATCATTTCAGAGACTTCAGGGTCATGTGCAACTGCGTCCACTCAGGTCTATCGCATCTCCATATGTATGGGATGGTTCGATACGGAAACAGAGAAGCCCACCCACCTCTATGCCAACCATGTATGTTTTGAGGCAGGTGTCACTGGACCATGGTGACTGCACGTTCGTATTCAAATTCAAATTCAGGCGCTGATGACATTCAGAAAACCAACCAGAAGCTCATCAGCCACAGCTTCGAAGCCGGCAAAAACTATAGTCAAAAGGAAGGAGGCACGCATTGTGGAGTTTTCTTGACCAACCGCCAATGTTTACCTTTGGCATGTCTCATGCCGACATGCTCACAGGTTGATGGAAGAGTCCGCCTTCCAGGAGATCAAAAAGCCCTCAAAAGTACCCAGATGCATGGAAGCATAACATCGTTCACGCCAAAAGTCAACATGGCAACACCTTCTGTGCTGATGCACATCCGAGGAAATATTCGCGGGCATTTGCTGAATCTTTGGTTCAATGTTGGATTCAAGGATGCTCAACAAACAGATCTGCATTTTGATCGCACACCAACAGATGCATTTTTTTCCCTAGTATATGGGCTTCACGTTTTTCCCCCTCCACTGGATGTGCCCAGGCACCGTGCATGGGCTGTGCTAGCAAAGTGCAGCATCCAATGTTCGAAGAACCAGGATCCACTTATGATGAGGCACCTTCAATTGGTGATCATATGTTTTCTTTGCTTAATGCATGTTTTGCATACATTTGCCAGGCCGAGAATATCAAGCTCCTCTTCTCCGAACCCGTTGACTGGATGAAGGATGCACCATGGCTATGGCTAGATTATTCCTGTGCGTTGATGTGCACCCAACATGTGAATTTTATGATTTCAATGGTGTAAGGCCAGCTTATGGCAAGTGGCCTGGTACCTCAAGAATGGCCAGTCCTTGCAACTTCCGAACTGTTGGCCATCTGATTGGATTTGATGTACAGATTTTATATTGTTTTGATATGATGGGGTGAATATACCAAACACTGGTATGAATCGCGCACTACAAAAGGGGATGAACAAAGTGTGTCGCCGCAACACACACGAGGTGCACTGATCAACAATGTATGATCTTCATGATACAAATTACCATTATTGTACTGAACGTTCTTGAATAAATAGTCAAATCAAGAATAAATATTAGTTTAATGAGTTTTGATGATTTTCGATGGATTTCGATGGATTTCGACGGATTTCGACGGGTAATAACATAGTGTGCATTCATCATATAATGTTAGTATCTTAGCAACATCATATAACATAACATATTTTTTAAGATAAATAAAAATATTTTATAAATATATAATTATCATTATCGTCGAAATCCGTCGAAATCCATCGAAATCCATCGAAATCAATCGAAATCCATCCAAAGCCATCAACATAGTTTTTATCATAAAGTATTGCAATGAAATGATATCGGATAACATTTGTATAGGATGTGTGCGCAGCTGTTACGGTTTCAAAACTATACAAGGTGGGTTTTGCATGCCACCAAAGTCAAAAAAAAAGGCTGCTCCCGCGGCCAAAAGTGAAGCCGAGATGGATGCACTTGCCAAGTCAATAGATGCATCCATGACAATGTCAAAGTTGACAGATGCACAACGCGACATTGTCAAGGCAAAGATGTTTCTCGGCTTCAGAATGGGTGGGGGGGCGTACGCATATATAACAACCTAAACCCTAAACCCTAAACCCTAAACTATATTCCCTACATCCTAAACCCTAAACCCTAAACCCTAAACTATATTTTAAAAAACGGGCAGCATTCCCCCCTCCCCAGCGGGTGTGATAAGGGGTAATATACTACAGGAGAAAACAAACACAAACACAACAATACTACGGGGGGGTGGGGAAAAAGGTACGCATGCACACCAATCTTAATTCACCCTTAGCACCCTAAACCCTAAACCCTAAACCCTAAACTATATTAAAAAAAAACGGGCAGCATTCCCCCGTCCATATACTACAGGCGCGGGGGAAAAAACCGTACGCATGCACACCAATCTTAAACCACCTAAACCCTAAACCCTAAACCCTAACCCTAAACTACATTTTAAAAAAACGGGCAGCATTCCCCCATCCCCATATGGGGTGTGACACGGGGTACTACGGGGACACAGCCTTAACCCTAAACCACATAAACCCTAAACCCTAAACCCTAAACCCTAAACTATATTTAAAAAAACGGGCAGCATTCCCCCATCCCCATGGGGTGTGACAAGGACACGAACACAACAATACTGCGGAAACAACGGGCACATGCACATCAATCTTAACCCACCCTTAACCCTAAACCACATAAACCCTGAACCATAAACTCTAAACTATATGTTAAACAACGGGCAACATTCCCCCATCCCCAGCGGGTGTGATAAGGTTATGATAAGGGTGTGGACCGTAACACGATCGTTCAGGGTTGTGGGGCCAGCGGGTAATATGCGCATTTGCTCAGGACGGCTTTGCTACAGAGCAGCCAGGAAGGTCAGTCCCAGAGCAGCCAGAGCCAGGCGGGGGTGTGGTTGGATCTGTGTTGTGGATTTTCCTTTATTTGTGCGCTTGCAATGGCAGGCGGCGGCCGGGTCCCAGAGCAGTCAGCCTGGGTCCACGCTGATGGATACACA